AAAAATTTGCATTTTTCTACAGAGGTCAACCACCTTTTGACCTTTAGATACGTCAATTTCTGCACGTTTTCAATTTGAATGGCTGAAAATCTACAGGCTACATGTTGATACCATCCAATAAATCATGAGTTGTGAACCTAAATGCTAACCACTACCCCAAACATCGCCATACAAAAGTAATCAACAATGACAGTAGTACATTAATTAATTTATACATTTTGTTTGTTAATATCATTTTTTATATTCCATATGCTTATTAATAATAGAAAAAACTTTTGCTATCAAATCTACTCATAACTGTAAATTTGTAAACGCTTGTGAGTGAATTGGTTATAAATTTACAACTTTTCTTTGGAGGTCAATGACCTCTTGACCTCCAGTTACGTCAATTTCTGCCTGTTTCAAAACCTTTTCAATATTCCCCCTTAAAGGTTTTCAATTTGAATGGCTGAAAATCTACAGGCTACAGTACATGTTGATACCATCCAACGTCATACAAATCCATCCAATAAATCATGAGTTGTGAACCTAAATGCTAACCACTACCCCAAACATCGCCATACAAAAGTAATCAACAATGACAGTAGTACATTAATTAATTTATACATTTTGTTTGTTAATATCATTTTTTTATATTCCATATACTTATTAATAATAGAAAATACTTTTGCTATCAAATCTACTCATAACTGTAGATTTGTAAACGCTTGTGAGTGAATTGGTTATAAATTTACAACTTTTCTTTGGAGGTCAATGACCTCTTGACCTCCAGTTACGTCAATTTCTGCCTGTTTCAAAACCTTTTCAATATTCCCCCTTAAAGGTACGAATATTTTACAAAGTTTGGAAAATTTTATAAGTTATTTTATTTGCATGAAGCTACTGTAATAGGACTTTTCATATTTGTTGTAATTTCCTGTGGCGGATCCAGGAATTCGAAATAGAAGGGCCCAGTGAGGGTACTTTCACAGATAGAAGCCCTATACTGGGGCGGGCACGGCCCACCCCCACCTCACGTACGGGAGAAAAAAAAATTATATGTATTTTTTACATATTAGTAGACTCTGAAAATCGATTAAATAAGCCTTTGTAATCCCTGCACCACTTTCTAAGCGGCCTTCTAATCGAAGCTCGACCACGCTCACTTTGCTTTCGTCAGGGAAATCTGACCCCTCGTCGGGGACCTCTCCCCCTCCCCCCTCCGTCGGACAAATCATGACGCCATCCCTGATCTCTACTACCTCAGCCACACCATGGTTCGGGCTGAGGTAAGAAAATTTGTGATTATGGCACCTCTAAATGGCCGGAAATTGCACTTTCAGACATAAAATTTGAATCAAATTTTCTTTATATATATCTCCATTTTTTTTTTAAATTGAGTGGGTGGGCGGCTGGGTCCCCTTGAATTCGGCACTGGGTACTTAGCAGATGAAGGATCTATACCACGTCAGCCCCACCAGGATTTGGGCTGAGATAAAAAAAAATTGTGATTTTATGGCACCTCTAAATGGCTGGAAATTACACTCTCAAACTTAAATTTTTAATATAATTTTCCTTATATCTCCATTTACAACAAAATTTACAATTTAGCCCCACCCCCACCCTTGAATGCGCCACAGATTTCTGTCGATCGAAGTCGAGATTGCTTCCATGATCTCAATGACTTATTTATCATGATGGTTATCCTTGATAAGGTTCCCCGAAAAAAATCCTGATGGATCAAAAGTATCCTTCATATGTAGCCCGGATATGATACTCCAACTGTGGCGGATCCAGGAAGTCGAAGAGGGGACTCAGGGAGGGTTGGGGGCTGAGGTAAGAAAAAAGTATGATTATGGCACCTCCAGACTGCCGGAAATGGCACTCTCAGATTTAAAGTTGAATACAATTTTGTCTGTTTTCTAAATTTTTTTTTTTATAATTTTTGAAAAAAATTAGGAGGTTGGGGGCCCGTACTGACTGGTTCCCCCTTGAATCTGCCAGTGTTCACTATAACACTTGGCATAGCCAATCATTTTGTATCACAAATGATTAATTCCTAATGTCAAGCGAAAGATATTTTTATACGAAATATTTTTTTTTACTCAATACAGTTTTACAACCTATAACACATTAACTACAGTGTACTGTAAGTTCTGTAGTTAACCTTTAGTGAACTATTTAAAAAAAATGGCCTAATTAATTATCTTATTGTTTTCGTTGAATTAGATGG